GCTTTTTGCATACGTTATTTCTCGAGAACGAAGAGCGCCCCAGCCAAAAAAAATTCAGAGCAATGTTTCTCAGGTACAACGAAGCCTACATGCCAAAATGCAGCTATTTTTGAACACTTTCAAAATGGCCAAAAAATCTAGGGGACGTTCTTGCACGCGGCCTTTCAATTATAATGGCATGTTCAGTTGCCTAGTGATTTTGAGGCGTAACCTGCCAGCTCAGTCTGTTACACAACACAGATTATGTACTCACCATAATCAATATCAAGTTTGATCTCATCATTGTCAATCTGTATAAAACGAGAAAATATACTGTTCATAAGAAAGATATTACAGAAAACATCGCTAGAATTAACAACTTTTCTGACACTTGTTGCTAGACTAACTAGAAAGTAAATGGAGAATCATTGCTATTGTTTAATAATTCAATAAGATTAATAAAAATAAAAAGGTCCCTATTTGCACATTTTAAATTTGCAATGAGCTTCCAAACATAGACTGCTAACATCTTACTCGATGACTCAAGAAATGGACCAGTCAATGAAAGGGAAAAACCACATGATTTTTACATGTTGATAAAATACCAGTAAGGATTCATGCACTTATCTATGAGGTAGAAACAAAACTTACCCTCAGAGGTTTTGTAGCAGTGCAAGCTAAGGTCCCAAGTCGCACATCCTGTCCAAGCATAATTTCTATTTCAAGATCATCTCTGGTATAACCATGTAGATTGTCAGATTTTTTCTCAACACTTTGCTCTTCCTAGAACAAAGAAAAACAATCATAGTCACCTCCACAAAACTAGAAAAAAAAAAAGAAATCATCATAATTACATAGCAATAACTGACCTCCCACACAGATGCTCTTAGGCCTCGTCACATGTTCTTTCCCCACAGAACATGTGACCAGCCCTAAGAGCATCTATGTGGGAGGCTAAGCAGCAATAGGAAGTTATTTTACAAAATAGTACCTTTGATTCGGGTGACTTCTGTTTGCTCGCTGCCTCATTGCAAACATTCCCCTCTGTAGAACTGGCCTTCTCTACCCTTTCTTTAGCACCTACTTCCTCACTGACTGGTGATTCTGGGATGATTGTAGGTTCTGTTGCAGTATTCTCAGACTTTTCTGCTTCTGCCAAATGCACAGCAAAACCAGGAAAATAATGATACTCAAAAATCAATGAGAGATTTCAAACCATGTCAGTTTAAACAGATGTCCAACTCATCAATATTCATATGGCTAGAGTATAGGATGATATAGGATCCTGGTAGGGTAGGGTAGGGTTAGAAACTGAGGGGGGTGGGTGGTGTGCATGTTATTCTTTTTAATAACCCCCCAAAAAAGTGGAAAAAAATACATTGGTTTGAAAAATTTAACCTAGGTTGAATCAAATCAGTCTAGTTGAAATCATTCTGACCTAAAGCACACATTGACCTGCATGTACATCTTTAACACCTTGTAATTACTGTCAAATGGGAAAACACTTGCATAAATATTATGGTTCCCAAACTACCATCATTGCAGTTTTTTCACATTTTTGGCATTAGCAGCATTATCATTGGTCTTTGTTTGGTATCTCTCGATTGGCTGAGAAAACATGCTACATGTTTTTTTTTTATCAAATGCTGACCGATAAGAATGCTTTGTCTCACCTATGATCTCCTCTTCATCTGATAAAGTTATAACATCCACTAAAATGAACAAGTTGAAATAAATAAGATCAGAGTGATGTATCAAAAATAAGGCAAAATGTTATGATCTTACAGTTCTTGTTTCTTTTGCCTGGAATGCTGTGACTTATAAGGAGCTCTGTTACACCCTCTGGACAAAATGCTGTGCTATTGTGGGTTACAACAGTACATGTACATGTACAGTGCATACTCATGTCTTAGTAATGTCTTTTTCAATTAAAAATCTAGTTGACAAGGTAGCAATGAGTCCAAACCTCATGCCTAAATTGCATGTTAGAGAAATGAAAGCTATATAGTACTTATATATTGCTTTGGTTGGGGGCAAGTTCTCAAAAAAAAAAAAAAAAAAAANAACTCTTTTTATAAACTAAGACATTTAAAGCAGTTCTACCATTTACATGTGCAGCTAAAAATATTATTGTCAGGCTTTTCATTCTGACCCAGTTAACAATCACAGATGTGCATTTATTCTTAAACTGGAGTCTCTCTATCATACCCATGTCTACAGGTACAACAGGTGTACTCTAGTGGTTATTGTACATATTGACTGCTTCTCTTGCTGCAACAGCATACATGTGTAGTGTTCACCAGACTCACAAACATTTAATTAAGGAAAGCTCAGTTCAACTTACTTTTGTTTGATTCTTTCTTTTCTTTAACATGAAGTTTGTCTGGCTTCTTTCATTATTTGATTTTTTAACATCTGACATCTTTGCCACTGATCCTGGCTCTAACAACTTGGGAACTCCATTTCTATGCAATCTATTATTATTGTATGTCCGTTGAACTTTTGGCTTTCTGTCATCAGCCAGAGGATAAAATCTGTCCGGTGAAAGAGGTCTTCTTGGTGTTGCAGCTTGTGAAGGGAAAACATCTTTGCTGCAATGTGGGCACTTTTTGTCCAGTGACAACTTCTGGTTACAGGTATTACAATAATTCGAATCAAAACAGTCATCATAGTTGTCATCGGAAAGAACCTCCTTTGACGAAGCTGGATTCTCACTAAGTCTTGATTTTTTTCTGAAGTTGCTATCTGAATTAGTGTCCACACTCTTTGCCACACCGTTATCAGAGTCTGTATTGAGTGAAACACCCACATGTTCTCCTTCCAGGATACGATCTAATACTGAACGACTCTCTCTTTGCTCTTTGTCTAGAACACTACAACTTCTTTGTACAATAGTTTTTGTAGTGTCTGCAGACACAGAACCATTACATCTCTCAGCTGTATGAGCATTTGAAACTGCAAAATTAGACCAAACAAAATAACATTATTACATTATATTTCATGGCAAACAAAGTAGTTAAGAGTTAATTTTGCAGATAGTGATTCATTTAATGGTGGACTTTGATGATGGGGTGAACACAGGCAAAATAAACAGGACAGAACAGAAGACAGCAAAACATGTAGATATACTTTATTTGACAAACTAAACTTGGTTACAATTTCAAGGCTTCCATGGCATTTCTCTTTGAATTCATGATCTCTGTGTTACTGGCACAATGAACAACCAGTCAAACTAAGAGGTCACATGGTGGGACCAAAGTCAGTTAAGAGGGATAGAATGCCAAAAGAAGTAAAGAAATGAACAATGTAAATACCATATTTATTTGATTATGCACCCAACCTCAAAAAAGCACCCACTTTGAGTGAGTGCCCGCCCTGTATATAGGAAAAGTTAACATTAAGTGCATCCCCCCTCCCACCAAAAAAAAAAAAAAAAAAAAAAAAAAAAAAAAAAAAAAAAAAAAAAAANTAACCTAGAGTAAAGGCAAAATGCTTAAACCTAAGTTTTTTGCTTGATAGTCTTAAGTCTCCAATGGAAAAAAAAAAAAAAAATGAAAATGAAGTGCACAAGGGGAGAATTGACTACTAAGAGACTTTCCTGAAGACCAAGTGTTTCCAGTATTCAGGGCTTGAAAAAAGTGCCGTCCTGTCATCCGGGACAAGTAGATTTGCGTGACAGGCAAGTAACTTTTCATTCTCACTTGCCCAATGGACAAGGGCCCAGCCAAGTCATCTGCCAATTAAATTAAAAAAGGAAAACTAACACTTGCCCAGGGCAAGTAGCATTTGAGAGCTGCTAGTCTGAGGGGCAAGCTGGAATTCAAGTTTTTTTCAAGCCCTGGACTATTTCAAAAAAACTTTTACTGAACAGTTAAAATTCTGCTGTGGTACATCTTCAAAGCAATTCAAAGCAGATGTTGTTTCTTATTTTGGGGAAGTCTAGATCTTTTGTAGGACATCAAAATATTTAATAGCATATAGAGGCTACACAAGTACAAGGGATGAGGATAGGAAAGAGTACCCAGAATGATTGTGATCAAGCTCTGTAAAACAACAATTTTCTTGATAACAAACCATGACTTAACGAAGGTTCTGTTCCTAAAGAAGTCAGCTTTGAATTCCACCCAGAAGATGGCGTCCCAGGGGGATCGGCATGTTTCCATCGACGTGTTCTGGGAACACAAAGTCCTTGTCTTCGAAGACGATATCCAATATCTTCTGATTTTCTTTTACCAGAATAGTTTGCATTGTTTCTTTGCTTCTGATTATGTGAGTCCCTTGTTAGACAGCCTCTATTCTCCTCTTCTTCATCAAATGAAGAAACAATCCATGAATTGCCTTTCTTGTCTTTGCCATCAGGAGAGCCAGGTTTTTTTTTAGGAATCTTGAATGATGAATTTTTTGCATTGAAGTCCTAAAAAAAACCAGACAGTTCATGTCCATTGTAGATACACAATAAAATTATAGATTTAAAAATACATCCATCAGTCAACATAATTTATGATATAACTTGGTGGTCAATTGAACAGAGATGACATGAAGACTATACCTAAGATGTATAGTATATGTAGGGGTTACTGATCAAATTTGAGACGCTGAGAGGCATTTCAATACAATTTCAGAAAACCAGCTCTATCACTGCGCAACACTCTCTATTAGCCTGTGTTCAACTATCAATAGCCCAACCTTCCCACAATAGTTTGCGGCAGTGTGACTCGATAGTCAGAGTGTGACTTGAACCTAAGATTCACTTCATGCTATGGACACATCAGGGTAAATGCAGAAACCAGTGAACCTCCAGGGTTCTCTACTTCCCAAGTAAGGTTGTTCAAAGCCCAATTAAGCTAACCCAGGATTGATGAGGATTTTGATTTCAGTTTTGAAACTTTTTGGTGAGGTTTTCTGTTTATATTGATTATCCTTCAGCTACAGTTGAGTTTGAATAATCTCAAATCGCACCAACTGTAAGCAGGGAAAAACATTTTTTACTAAAAAAATTGATAGTTTGGTTAACATTTTATCTTGGGTTAGTGTTAACAGCCTTTGAAACAACTTGGCCCTGAAGTCATAATGCAAACTTACATTGGGACTTCTGTGTCCATCTGACAGACATTTCTTGGAGTCACTGGAAGAGGATGAACCTTGCTGTTCACTATCACATTGATCATCCTCAAGTAAACACACCTCACTGGGAAAACAAAATGATGTGACATTAATGACCCTCCAAAAGAATAAATAAAAGTTTTGTAAATATGATCACCTAATAAATGACAAATAAAACCCTCCATCCAGTGATGTTTTTAGGTAATTCATTATTGTAGATTGGTATCTGGTCGTTAAGCCCTCAAGTTGATAAGCTCCCAAACAGAAGTTGAAAACACTTTCTATTTCTCATTCTTTAAAGTGTGAATTGTGGGGGCTCTTCAACTTCTGGTTGGGGGCTAGGGACTAATCAACCTGGGGGGCTAAATGATTTACATTATGTAGATTTTCAAGCTTTAGTTCTGTTGCAGTGAACTGGCACTAAGTATTTGCCATTGGAAAAAATCTTGTCATTATCTTGCCAAATTTAACAACAAATTCTCTTTTACTTGATCTAAATCATCAGTGAACTAAATTAACAAAAACGCATTGCATGTCACAGTTTCCAATTTACTGTTCACCAAGCTTGCTTCAAAGAAAATCAGAGATGCCGAAGACTTGCGTTACACTGATCTGAAACAGAAATCAATTTCAATTTCTTATGGCAGATATGAGGACAACTTAGACATACTCATTCTCTGGAGAAAAACTTGGCCCACTGACAACCCAACCTGTGTAAGGACTTTTCTCAGCTTTATCCAGGCCTAAAAATGGAAAATCCACCACGTCAGAATATTCATCTCTCTCGAGAAGCTTGAAGATCAAATCATTGAAAATTTTCACATGACTTTTCACTTCATAAACTTCTAAATAGGAAATATGTTACCTGATAAAAGGCCTCGACTCATTTTCTTTCTCTACCTCATTACAATGGCACAATATAAGTCCAAGATTTACAGAAAAATCGGTTATAGAGAGAGCGTATTCTCTTCCTTGTCTTCGCGTCATTTACCCGCCATTTTGAATATTACGAAGCGCGCTCTCGGCCTCGTTTTGGTGCTCCTCTCAAAAGTACAGCGGACGAAACAGCGGACTCGATCAAAACTGTATGCGCTATCTCCTGAGCTTCGCGATGTAAACAAAGAACTGGGTCGTCCAGAAATAAAATGCGACAAGTTGAAAGGAATCTTTGTCATTAACCCGTGGATCTACACTTTAGCATGCAAGGTAATTCGAACGTAGCTACGTGAAGATATAGGATTGTTTATTGAAGGTGTTCATCAGAATTAAGTCATCAGTTCTCTATAAGAAGGACGTGCGTACAAACTGATCCCCATGTACCCCGTTGTTACACCTTTTACTTTCTTTTATCATTTTATGGAAGACCTTTCTTGTTTCCGCCGACTATCTAAATTTTGTCTTTAAATCCATTGCTTATTTTTGGTGAATTTTCTACAGTTTGATGCTCTGTTACTGAAAAGAAATCCCAAATATTCAAATTGTGTTACTTCGTTAATCAGTGTTCATGTACACGTCGACATTATCCGGTCGTGAACTCCTTTTCCCAAAAGCTATTGAGTAGTAGTAATGATACAAAGCGGGGAGTCTCAAAGGGAATCTATTCTTTTTTGCTGTTGTTTATTTAAAACAACTGTATGCATAATATATAACGGGGTTATACTGAAATCTGGCCGTACTATCAACGCTATTGTAACACCATTTAATTCAAGTGGAAGATCGATTATATAAGCTTAATTGCCCTTTTGTAACTACTTTGCATACATTATAGTCAAGGTATTCGATAACTAATTGGAAAATATGTGTGCAACAAAATAACCTTCTATAACCCCTTCTCATGTGATGCAATATACTTCACAAACTTGGGTACCTGCAAAATATGTATGTATTCAAGGACATTCCCTAAGAGATGCCTTACACCATAAATTTCAAACCCCAATTTTCAACATTTGCTATTTATAACTAATTTTTGTCCATTTGTATCCATCAGGACGCCTTTATTGAATTAGTCAATAGATGCAAGGTTTTGCCTGTTTTATTCATGGAGCCCTTTGCTCATGACAAGGGAGAGGGAGCAAAGAAAGTCATTGTAGCTTCAAGCAGCTCCAGTACTCATGGCCTTAGAGCAAGATCGTCAAAAAGTTCAGGTTCTCCAAGACACAGCAAAAATCGAGCCACAAAATCTTATGGCGGAGCCCGCAACTTGAATGGTAGCTTGATCGGTTTATCATGGCCAAGCACCCCTGACCTAGGAAGCCAGTTATCACCTGGGAATGCAAGCCCAGAGAAAATACCCCTGGGGCACTACAGAACTGGAAGCAGCTTTGAGAATTCCCTTCCAGGAATGCAGCTTAATTCTAATGAGTTTCTGTGTGACTCCAGTGTTGCAAAGTTTAATGCTGGACTCTTTTCATCAATCACTAGTCAAACTAGTCAAGAGTTAGATGTAGAAGAAGCCATGGATATTGATCATCAAGAAGTTAATGATGACGCTGCTTGTCCTGAAGAAGGTAATTCATCTGAGCCAGGAGCCTCAGAAGAGAAGAGCCTCTCTGGAGGAGAAAGCAACACTCTTTCTTCGGATGTTAGCTCAAAGGTACAGCAATAAATTAATACATTCAAGTAGTATAAAGTTAAGTGACAAATGTCTTGACTATTTGGATTAGAAGCCTTCTGAATGTGGGGTATGTGGGGCTGCTGCTTTTGTGTACCATTAAAAGTGTAGTGCTTCTAGTCACCCAGAATTATAAATCTATATAATCTTTGCGAATTGTAACAATTACTAAGAATTGCGACTAGTATAGTGTCGAGGGGGACAGAAGAAGGAGTAACACTGTAACTGGACTATTATTTCTTAAAAGTTTTTTGTTTATTATTTGTTTCCTGGACAGGAACCAAAAAGGGAAATCCTAGTTGCAAATCGCAAGAAGGAAGTGAATGAACAGAAGCCGCAATTATCGAAAACTACTTCGACTACTTTATCAAACAAAAAAAGAGCCATTTACATAGTTCTTCATGTCAGCACTATACGGATTGGAGAGTTGATTGGAAAGGCCTCTGCTCCTGTAAAGGTGAAGCAGTTTATATAATTTTTACTTAGTGATGGTTCTTGATTGTGATATTTTCTAAAAGTACATTGTGTGGTTCCAGAAAATATCTATACTTCCCCTGGCACAGAAGGGATTTTTTCTGAGATCTCCCACCCCCTCTGGAAATTCCAATTAAGCTTCATACATTTATTTAAAATGTGTTGGTCTCGCAGAACCCCCCAACCCCCAGGAAATTCTAATTCCTTCTAGGGGGGAGTATCTAGATGTTTTCTGGAACTGCACATTGTAAATATATAGATCTACTTTATTTGCCTAAGAGTTCCTGATATAAATGACTAACTTAGGACTGATTTAGGCACTTCAATGTTTGCACAGATGTGCTGCTTGTGAAAACTTTAAGGACACAACATTGATCCCAATGTACAACTTGCACATGAGCATGCATGAAATAGGCCATATTTGATATATCAATGTAATCTAGCATTGTTCTGAAGCTTTCAGGACAAACTTCTAATTTTGGTGTTGTTTTCTTTGTATCCAAGTCTCTTTTGGGAACTGAGAAACAAGAAACTTAGAAAAATTACAATTTTGACCCAAAAGCCACGGAGCCCTGTTAGAGTATTGATACATGTATATCAAACATGACCTATTATTATGATCATTGTCAATTTGATTCACACTCGTGACATTGCACTTGTCAATTTACACATTACCTAAGCAACTATTGTAGTATCTACATGTAAATCAGTACTTGCAGAAAGAATTAAAATTAATAACCAATTTTGTAAGTTATATTAAATAATTCCTTTTTACAGATATATGCAGAGAAAATGTTCATAGAAATGGATACTAATGAAGGTAAAACATGCACAATATAGTAATTTGATTTGATTTGATTTACTTTGGTTTTGGTTTGGTCTGGTTTGCTTTTTGCTGAGTCACCAAGTTGTTACATGTGCCAAAAATGATGTCTAAAATGAGCACTTTAATTAAATAGCTGAAACATTTTGATGTCTTCCAACTCGCGTGCCTTAATTAGGCATACAGGTGTAATTTTTCATATGTGTGGATCAAAAACTTCACTCATGCTCCATTTCACATACCCTCTAAATCAAAACCAACTAAACACCATGTGAAATGTTTGTTGAGCTAGTACAGCACTAACTGACTTACTTTCAAAAAATTTAGATAACCTCAATTTAAGACACAGATGATGTGAAATTGTAGAAATCAAAGATTAGAAACAATATTGCTCTCAACCACCATCAATGACT